TTTACAATAAATAGACATTATAGTATTTATATCAGTCGCCTAGTATCCATAACACAAGCTCAGCTTATCTTAGGACCAATATATGCTTGACTAGACCAATAGATATAATCATATTCATAAATATCAATGTTTGCAGCGTGCTAGGTACCAAACCTGCAACCATCGAAAGGGAGGGTGTGCTAAATCGCTAGACCACAGAATCCGTAATTTTTTCAGATTTTTACTTTGTTTTATGTACTTTACAGTTAAAGTTTACGACTTCATTTGCCGTTCGGAGAAAATAAGAGTATATATATTTGCTATACAAAGTAAAAATACTATGTGTAGTTAAACTAGGGCCTGAGGAAGTTTCGATTTCGATTAACTCGTGGATAAAAATTCTGGAATAATGTATGTATTTTTTATATATTTAGTAGAAGTAGTTCGGGCGTTTATTTTACTCATAAAAATATCTTTTCTCTCAATAATGTCACCGTAGATTTATACAGTGATTAATTTTAGTTCGCTATAAATCTTTATAAATATGTAATATTTTTGTGAATAAAATATTTTCTTATTAATATTTAGCTATCATCAATCATATAGACACACGATGACTTGTTGTTATCAAGTTTTTCGTTGGAACTGAAAATTAATAACTTACATCATTAGCTTCAAAAGAGGCCGTTGTGGCAAAAAGTTATGAGTGTAATCTCTGTGGTTTTTTTATATAACAACCATAGTCTCACTAGCATACCCGCAACTTTGATTGTTCAAACTTTCATCCACTAATTCTTCCCTAATATATTTTGAGCACTCTAATCAGGAATAATTCGATTACACTTTTTTTTTAATTTAGGTAAACAAACAATGATGAAATAATTCATTTTACACAGTATTGCATAAAATTGGTTTTATTGGTCTATTCTTAGGAATATTATAAGAATTGAGACTCTTATAGAACTGAACACTTTGTTTACTATGAAATTATTTATTAAAGTATAGAGCACATAACTGATTGAACACTAGACAATTGTCGAAGAGATATGGTCATTATAGCCATCATCTAAAATAGAATTATAATTTATAATTATTATTGCCAGTGCAAAAACAACAACCAAATCCAGATGATTGTTTTTACCATAAAATATGTCTGTGATGCAATTTATCTTAATGTCAAATTCCACTAATATCTGTTAAGCCGTCGTCAAAAAGCCAAGAAATAGATATAAAGGGACACTTACAAATAAATATAATGTAACTAGAATACTATATAGGCTGATATCTAAAAACATAAACAGAACCATGATTATATGATGGATATATTCATCAGATATAATCAACAGAATTTTTTGATTTCATCACAGTTGCACCTAAGACCGTAACTGTTATTTTACAATAGTAGTAATTTTAAATGTGACGGATTATACTTTTTATTGCACAACAGATGTGCCTAATAATATAACACCTGTTGCCATTCCAGATTACTAAATCGTCATGCCCGTACACTATAATTTTACTGTCATATAGACAATCATTCAAACAAAAGCTCCCAGAAGATATCATTTCACGAGCCACAGACCCTTAAAATGCAAAATAATTAAGAAATTCCCGAACTGCTTCGACATTCCCTGAAATTCTTTGCTCGAGTTTAATTATCCGTATCTGTAATGACCCATTAGTGCGCAGATTCATCTCTTTGCATCAATCCAGGTAAATAATGTTGCTTTGTGTGTGCAGAGTTACATGTAATGGATATACGAAGAAACTATAAAACCCGAATGCCATGAAATTGAGCAGTTTTGTATTATTTATATTCAACCTCGGCGGTCTAGCGGATTAGGACATCGTCTTTCTATGGTGGCGGGTTCGATGGAAATCAATGAAATCAAATTACAAATCATTTATTCATGTAGGACAATTTACTCGCTTATGAACGTCACATATTCTCTATGAATTACTATCAATAATTATTTGTATTATATTATATCTGGGACTTGTCTATGTATATAAGATTATATTTTTTGAAAAAATATATTTAAGCATTTCTATCAATTGTCTAGTACCAACAATATCAGCACTGCTTAACTAAGCAAAAGTACAAACTACATTAATAACGGATTATTATGTAGCGCATTGCAAATAGTGACGTTTAGAGATCAAAATATGTATAATTAGAAAGTACATTGAGCTTCCTAAAGTATGGTCTAGCGAAATGATGGTTGGCTGACGGATCAGCTTTCCGAAGAAGTGATGGATAAAAAAATATAGAGATAACAATTAAAAAGTGAAGTGAAAGTGTCAATGTAAGTTTATTTCAATAAATTATTTTTTATTCTATTCTATTCCAGAGGATACCCGCGGTAACACCCATGCGTTATTGCGGGTGCCACATGATAATGTAATGTATTGCTATAATATAGACGTCGATTATCGCTTACCATCAGGTGAGCCGTCAACTTGTTTGTCATTCCAAATACATGAAAGTAATAGCAATCCTTTAATTGATTTTATTTCGTAGCTATCACGCCGTTTTGCGCGCAATCTCAGTATGATCAAGTTCTGTACAATATTATATTCCAATCCCTGTAATAGTATTTCTACGGTTTATGATACAGTTATAATAATCATATTATTCATCCTCACAAACTTTCGCGTTATTAGGATTATCTGTAGATATTAAGACGTAGGAATTAAATTGATACTTAATTATTCATGTATAATACTTTAATATTAAATCAACGGCGCAAAGGCCAATATTATAGCATTGAATATTCATAAAATCTGAGACTTTAAGTCAGACTTTCATTTAATGATCCAATTTCTTAGTTGTCTACTTGATTTTACCATCCGATTCATTCTTTGAACGACTAAATTTGCCAATTTACTTGTTGATTTTTTTAAATTGCATTTTAATTAAATGTAATAACCATGGAGAATTCACGCAATACCTACTATGGGTTGTTTAAAATACTTAATTGTTATTCAGAAAATAGGCAATTTACATAGATCCTTTAGTCAAATAGATTTAGATTTAGATGTTAAATATACCTAATCTATTTGACTCTTCTATACTTATAAATATAGATATTATATTTAAACATACTTATATATATTAATATATCACATAGTGATATAGTCTATGGTGTGACTATATGTTAAATGTAAGTATATAATTTTTTGAAAATCTGTAATTCGTTATAATTAACTTAATTAAATCAGTACAATGGAACCGTGCAATACTAACTCACAAAAGAAATAGTATTGAGAAACAAAACACTGTAAAATAAATGTAAACACAAAACCTCTACATTCAATTCACACGATTCGGGAAGCCGTATAAATATTTCAAAAAGTTTCTACTTAAAATCTGCGCGTTGCGAATTTGCAATGTCGAGATGTCGACATTAGGAACATCAATAAACGTTGTATTGACTTCGGGGTTCTCTCCCTTCCACCATCAGTTCATTCTCGACGACGTGGCGCCACGTCGTTGAGGTTCATCTACAATAAGGATTGACTATTAACTAGTATTAATATATCGATAAATTTTATAGAATAGAACAGACAGTTCTTTATCAAATAAACTTACGTTTAAATATTCTTGAATAGTCAAATTTTTATTACCGGTAGCGGAAAAAAATGTGACTTTTTAGACAACAGGCAGAAGTAGATATTTTTAGCATATTAGTAGTAATGTATTAGTAATTAATATTAACGTTAAGGTCACTGTTAAATATTTGAAGTCTTATAAGAAACATTAATTATATTTTAGCTCTGAGTTTAAACTTATTTATGATTGTATATCAGGAAATATAATACTTATATTGATTAATAAAAAAAAAACATAATTATATCTAAACAGGAAGTAATGTGAAAGTAGTATATAGCATTGCGTTGCCAACTTTGTCATAAGTCAAGAATTACGCTGAAATAAAATGTTCTTATAAAAATAACTTTTGTTATAGGACTTTATATTCTGCACCTTATTACATACATATTATTTGGTTAAAAAACTAAAAAAAGACTACAAGTAGTACTAAACATCTATAAAAATACTCAAATACGCTTATAACGATAAACCTTTAGCGCATCACTATAAAATGATGGGGAAAATTCAAGTTAAAATCACGCTTTTTTTAATATTCAATGTTTATTTTTGGCTGCCGCCGAAAGATCCGATTGCAAAATCACTTTTAGTCCACCAACTTTGCTACTGAAAGAAGCGGATTTTTGGGTACATTTTAATACCTTTTTAACAAGCTGTAAAAGGAATGTTTTCTGATCCGATTGTTACTACATTCACAACGTTTGGTCACCTAAGCTTTTTATTTCAAAACTTCAAGCGTCTATGTTATGCCGATCAATAATTATGTTGAAGTTTGACTATGGAGTGTTCTTCAGTAACGACTAAAATGATCATTTATATTTGTCTAGTCAAAATGGGACGTTTAAAAAATACAAGAACATAGAAATATCTTTAATAATATTAAGAGAGAAAGCGGGTTTTGCTTTAGGAGAAAAACGGAACGGCAGCACTGATTTGAGAAATTGTTTCCCTGTTTGAAAGGTATATAAGTCTAGAGTATCATTGACTATGGTGTGTTAATATACCGTATACATTTACAAAGATATGACTATATGACCACCCGAAGCCAGAGTGGCTTAATTAATATAAAATACATTAAATATTTTATATTAATTAATATAAAATATTGAATGTTTTTTTAATGTGAAGCAGTATTTTTCTTATTTTTTCAGTTCACAGTGCCCCATTTTTTTTGATCCTTCTGTTTACAAAAGCCGGACATTTTTGCTCTGGCTCAGCCACCGGGACAGGATACCTGAGAGCAGGACTGTCCCGTCCTAAACGGGACGGATGGTCACGATAATAATGATCAAAAAAAGTTTTTTTCGTGGGTAGGCTACAAAACATAACACATAGTGCTCCTAATAAATAAATAAATTATAATTAATAAGACAACATAATTAAACTTTTTTTTTTAATTATTTAACAGTTTAATATAAAATAATCATTATGGACAATTAGAAATCCAGTGCACATGTGTTAAAACACCATTTTTTACTGCATTGTCCTGACAGTTAACACTGTATCACCAGAAATAAAATTATTTGTGAATACTGTTGGAAAACACACTAATATGGCAAACTATACTCAAATTTTGGAAACTCAACATGCACTTGAAGTCACATTAGAGAAGAAATTATGTGAGTTTGAAAAAAAGTACATGCAGTCAAACACAACATCGGGAAGCTCCATATCAAGTCTTCCTGAAGAGTTCCAGGATTTTAAAACAGAAGTATCCACTGTCCTTAATCTTCTCCGGCAACAAATATCAGCCCTAGTTGGTGTCATGGACACAATTGAAATGCGACACCGAAGGAAGTATCTTCTTATTGGTGGTATCACAGAAGATATTAAGGCAGATGAATTGGTCACCTTCACATCAGAGCTTATACAGGATAAGTTACATTTGCCTGAAGTAACAGCTGATAAGATTGCTGTGTGCCATCGTTTGGGTAAACTGAATACAGAAAAATCACGTCCTATTCTAATTCGGTTCACTGACTTTTCAATTAAGGCTAAGGTATGGAAACAGAAGACCAATTTCAAAGGAACGTCTCATACTGTGTCCGAATTCCTCACACGTCGAAAGCAGTCTCTATTTCTACAGGCACGCAAACACTTCGGGATGAGAAAGTGCTGGACCATGGATGGAAATATATTAGTACTGATGCCCGACGGTTCCAGACGGCGACTTCACAATGAGGAGGATCTGTCCAAGGCCATTGATTCCACAAAGATAGATCATCCGACTGAGATCGAGCCTTCTATTGTTGCCTCTCCAGAGACACGGAATAAGAAGTCCAGACGTGTCGCTAAAAAGAAGTGATTCATTTTGTATATTGTGTTTGTTAAACTCATATAGTTTATTTAGTCAGCCGGTAACCAATTCTCTGTATAACACTTTTAATGTGCGGGTGGTGAGTTAATATCTCAATTTTATATATTGCCTTCAAATAATTTTAATATAACCCACACGAAAACATTTATTTCCGTAATGAACTGACTGACTGACTGACTGACATTCTATTACAAATTGTTGACAGTTTTGACATTATAATTAAAAGGTTTTATCTGTGTTACGTACACTGAGTACTAGTACTTTAGCCACTGCTCTTATTGTTATTTATAGTCTTACTTTTATTTTATTTTGTCCATTTTACCATTGTAATGTCTTTTTTTTTTTTTTATTATTTCTGTTCACTCACTACTATCATGTAGTGTATTAATTTTAAATGTAACAGCTGGCAGGACATGCAGGAATACATAATTGTAAATTTTTTTTTTTTTTTTAGATAATTCTATAGGTATATTTATATATATATATATATTATATTTTTATATATTATATTGTTTCTAATTTATCTATTTACTCGTAATATGTCCAATGATGAATCGTTCTATTCTGCTCTTGACACCACTACATCTTCGGATTCGAATGAGTCTTACTATGAACCTCTAACTTTGTATAACACAATTCAGGACGAAATTGAAAGAACCTCGTCTTTTTTTAATGTATGTCATATAAATGCACAAAGCATCCCATCTCATCACACTGATCTTCTCGATGCTTTTCCCACCTCTTCCCCCTTCCATGCAATTTTGATATCGGAAACTTGGCTTAAACCTACACTCTCTTCTTATGCTTATTGTTTACCAGGCTTTGTTCTGATTCGAAATGACCGTCTTGGTAAGGGTGGAGGAGGCGTTGCAATTTATCTGCGTAGTGATTTCCCGTACTCAATTATATCCACATCGAACCCTAATTATAATGCAAATGCAGAGTATATTTTCTTAGAGGTTCTCGTCAAAGGCGTTAAAGTGGTTCTCGGAGTCGTTTACTGTCCCCCTACTGTCAACTATTTCTCTCAACTTGAATCTCTTTTAGAAACTGTGGCTTCGGATTACACTCATCAGATAATTATGGGTGACTTCAATACTGACTTGTTAAAAAATACACCACTCACTCAAAAACTTTTACACATAATCGAGTCAGTAAATCTGCATATTCTACCTTCTGGAGCTACTCATCATAATCTGACGTTTCCCGACACATGGCTCGACTTAAAGATAATATCTTCCGTGGAACATGTTATGAAACATGGTCAATTATCTGCCCCGGGCTTCTCAAAACATGATCTTATTTATCTTCAATACAAATTAAAACCACCAAAAAAGAAGCCCACCATAGTACATATGCGTAATTTCGCGGATATAGTTGTACAACAATTAGTAGATGATGCTTCCAAATTAAACTTTTCTCCTTTACTAGCTTCATCTTCAATTGATGATAAAGTTTCTTATCTTAATACTTCAATTTTAAAATTGTACAACCAGCATGCGCCCTTAAAAGCGGTTAAGATAAAACGACCACCTGCACCATGGATCACACGTGGAGTACGTATGGCTATGACCAAGCGAGATCGATTGTTTCGTAAATATAAACGTGACCGGTGCGATAATAACTGGATTTTATACAAAACGGCGCGAAATAGGTGTAACCAGATTGTGCGGAGGGCGAAGGGTCAATACTTTATTAACAATCTATCTAACACTTCTTCGGCCAATATTTGGAAGTTTCTACGTTCTCTTGGTTTTAGTAAATGTTCCAACCCTTCTAGTTTATCTTCCTTTTCTCCTAATGACTTAAATCAACATTTTTCATCAAATAACTTTTTTAACCCTTCCATAAAATTAAATACTATTTCTAAAATTGCTTCTTTAGCCCAACCTAACATAGATTCCTTCTCGTTTACTCCAATTACTGAGGATGAGACCTATAAAATTATTCAGACTCTGAAATCAAATGCAATTGGTTGTGATGATATAAGCCGTAAAATGATCTCACTTATTATCCATCAAATTTTACCTATTTTGACTCATATCATCAATTTCTCCTTTTCCTCTAGCACCTTTCCATGTACCTGGAGAAAAGCGTTTGTTCTTCCCTTACCTAAACTTCAAGTCCCAACCAAATTAACAGATTTCAGACCAATATCTATTTTACCATTCCTATCTAAAGTCATTGAGGCTGCCGCTCATAAACAAATCTCCTCTTTTATTTTAAACAACAACCTCCTCACATCCTTTCAGTCAGGTTTTCGTCCAGGACATAGTACCTCTACTGCTCTCCTTAAAGTTACTGAAGACATCCGCATGGGTATGGAGGATAAGAAGGTCACCATACTAGTGCTTATTGATTTTTCAAATGCATTCAATATGGTCGATCACGATATTCTTATTTCCATATTGCGATACCAAAAGTTGTCATCCTCAGTTTTGGATTGGTTCTCTACCTACCTTCGGGGCCGTCAACAGGCAGTTAAAGTTGATAGTGAGTTATCGGATTGGGCTGATTTGTTGGCCGGTGTACCCCAAGGCGGAATTTTGTCCCCTCTATTGTTTTCCATATTTATTGACCTTTTGTCCTTCAATCTTGGCTGTTCATTCCACTTTTATGCAGACGACCTGCAAATATATGAACAAATATGCGTTGACAGGTTAAATTTTGCTATCGTGAGTATTAATAAAGATTTACAAAATATAAGTAATTGGTCTCATAACTTTGGTATCTCAGTTAATCCAACAAAATGTCAAGCAATTATTGTGGGGAGTTCAAATCAGATAGCCAAAATTGACTTAAGTACTGTTGCACCTGTCATATTCGAAAATTCAGTTATTCCATTTAGTCAAAGCGTTAAAAATCTCGGTCTTTACATAGATACTACACTTAGTTGGAACTCACAGATTCTGCATATTAGTCGCACAGTTACATCATCTTTGCGTTTTCTAAACCGTTTTAGAAATTTTCTTCCTTTAAAAACTAAGATTACTCTTGTTCAGTCTCTCATTCTTCCTATAATTGATTATGCCGATGTGTGTTATCCTGATCTCAATGAAGATCTTCTCAATAAGTTAGACCGGCTCATGAATAAATCTATTCGCTTCATTTTCAACCTTCGTAAATATGATCACATCTCTTTGCACCGTTCTCAACTTAAATGGCTCCCTATACGTCAGCGTAGGCAAAAGCGGTTACTTTGCACTCTTTTCTCAATTCTTTTTGATCCTGCTTCCCCTGAATATTTGAAATGCAAATTTCAATATCTCCGGGACTCTCATGACCGCCAACTACGTTCTAAAGATTCTCTTTTACTTCAAACTCCTCTTCATAAAACTAATTTTGTATCTTACTCTTTTGGTCTACAATCTTCACGGCTCTGGAACTCACTCCCTGAACGCATTCAAACTATCTCCAATAAGTATACTTTTAAAAAAAATGTTCATGCTCATCTTCTAAGTTTATTGTCATAGAACAAGTAATGTATTCATCATATTGAATGTATGTATATATATTATGTATTGTATGTATGTTGTGTATATATGTTATAATATTCGTGTGTATTCTATTCTTGTTTAGTTGTAGTCTAGTCTAATGTTTGTATATACGTTATTTATATAATTAATGTTAAGCCACCATCAAGTATTTCTGCACTTCCTGAAGGTTGACTGGTAGAGAATGCCTATAGCATTAAGTCCGCCGTTTGTACCATAATTTATTGGTCAATAAAGTTTAAATAAATAAATAAATAAATAGATAATAATGATCTCGTCGGAGATTCTCCTGTTATGTATCATTGGAAGGGTCCCGCACTGTTTATTTGTTTGGACCACTGAACCATGAAAATATTTTCTTTAGCGTCTTTCTTTTATTTTGGCAAATCTATATTTATAGTGAAATGGTATAATCTATTTTCATATACAGGATGTAATATGTTTTTCTTAAATTTTGATTAATCTTTTATATCACACATATGTGTGTATCACACATATGTGTGTGATACATATTAAATGTAGTTTAATGAGTGTCACACGTTGTAGTGTTAGCACAATGTTTTAGTGTATTGACAATATATTAATTAATTGCATCATCATCTTGATAATTGGATCTTTCTATATTTGTTTCTGATAGTCAGGAAAAACGTAGTAACACTGAATTTTACTCTTTTAAAAAAACATCCAATTGATTAATCATAATGTTAAAAAAATATTTTACTTTGTGCATTAAAAGAGTATTTTTTCTATATTAAATAAATGTTTTTGGTGATGTACTTTTCGTATACATACTTAATATTCTTTAAAAAAAAATTCAGTACATTAGTTTGATATTTATATTGAAATATAGTTGTTAAAACTTAAGTTAAATTTAAAGAAACTAAAGCTGTGTCGTACACTTAGTGTATATTATAATCGATTGTGAATTTATAAATAAAAACTTCTTTATTATGGTATAGTGTACAAATAACTGATATAAAAAATATATTAGTTCAATTAATTATTAAAGGGTTTTATTATTTTTCTTTATACTACTCTAATCTTGTTTGCTCAATTCAATGTGCACAACGTTCTATAATTGATAATTTACGGAAGTCTTTAAAAGAGACCAGATTAATTGAGCAAACAAGTTACCGCGGTAATTAATTCATGCAATATTAAAACAAGTCGCCTAATTAAGTGATTCATTATGACACTTTAGCGTCTGTAATATTTATGATCTGTTTAACATACTGTGAGTGACAGTTAGTAATTGTTAGTTTTCTGTGGTGATTTATAATGTTACAATTGTTCCCTTGTATTGCTATTATTTACTTTTACTTTGGAAAGTATACACTACATCCTGAAGAGATATAAAAACCATAAGATATTACAGAATATTTAATTCTTATCATAAGAGAAAACAGAATATTCAATACTTATCCCTGACGGGTCTAGGTAGCAAACTTTGAAAAAGGGCGAGTATAATAAATCTATGCAGGTCGCAGTACTACAGGTCTAAACACTTGACTAATAGCCCAAACCTTTAATAAAAAATTAAATAAACTCTCCCCACCGCATATCACCCGTGCGCTCCAATACCAAGACCAGGCCAAAATGAAGTATCAAAAGATTTTTCAAATCGGGTTGATATTTCATCCCAAATGAGTAAAACCTTTAGCTTAACTTACTACTGACTCTTAACTACTCGTATGTCTATATATAATAAAAAATGTTCCTAAATCTTTTTGAAGATTACATAATACTTAGATTTTATTAATAGAAATAGAAAATATTCTTAATGTGACACAAATAGAACCTACTATATCTCTGTGTATTCGAAAATATAACCCCATGTTTTTGAAGTTCGTATCGTCGTTCCTGTGTATTGCTAGCACAGGGCTATTAATCCCTAGTACCACAGATAACATAATATTACATACTAGTACTAACAGTCCCCTCTCTGTCATATATATTTTCTGATTTGCACATACTTATTGTAAAATTTCTTTGTTTCAGATAACAATGGTGCCAGTTTTAAAAGTGAATTGTAATATTTCGTCATAAATGAAAACTTTATTCAATGTTAGATAAAAAAATGTAGCCTTTTTTAACAATTCAAATACCAACTATGTTTATAGTGTAACGTATAAACTCCAATAACAATGAAATTGAGTGTGAGTGCGTTTAGGGCACAAGCCACTGCTCATAAGAAGATTCTGACGTCATCATACCAGCAACACTATGGAAGTACCGCGGCGCCACCCGTCTGCAACCCTTTACAACCTCCCAACTTCACACCACAAGTAAGTTAATTTTTAATAATGTAATATTAGCATGTTTCTTAATGTATCATTCATTTATTTTAATTACATACTTAACACTAATATAACTAATAAAAAGCCAATGATTATACAACATGAAATGATTACGAAATAAAGAATTTATGACAAAATTTTAAGGAATTTCTTCATATTGCTCTATTGAGCAATATTGATTGACCATTGAAAATACTCAAAAACTATACTTATTTACATTTTATAGCGATATTTTATAATAATATATTAAATATGCATTATCTATTCCTTATAAACTATACAATAGGGTTTTAATCAGCAGTGTAAATAAATATAGTGAACTATGAAAGTCAAATATATTATATATAGTATTTGGTAAAAGACTCACACAATGTTAACTACACCAATGAAACAATGAAAGATGTTTTTCAGTATCTTTCTAAATATAAATTTTAATTTCGCACTGTCCTCTATTCATAAGTGCCAGAAATAAATTTAATAATTAAGTTCCAATAACAATAAAATACTATCATTATATTTTATTGTTATTGGAACTACCCATAATACAAGTTCTACTTCAGGCGTTCATAGGCTACGGTAACCTTTTATCATCAGATGGGCCGTATGCTTGATTGCCACCAACGTAATATAAAAAAGAACTTAGTTTGGAACTAGATGACGTTATATAAATTGTACAGGGTTAAAAATCATTGACTTCCAACACACCGCATCAATGTAGTGTTCCCAAGATACTCATTTCCTCTCTGAATTGCCATACTAATTTTCTGGACAATATATATATTATCTTCTACGAGTATCATACGCGTCTGTAATTGATCTGCGTGAATAAAGATATTTTCTATCAAAAAAGATAATACTTCCATTACTAAGAATCTTCCCCTTCGTCACTGCTACCACTCACACGTTATATCGAGAAAGGTATTGTTAATGTGGTTTAATAACCCCGTTGCTAGCAATCACCCATGTCAGGTTGACCTCTACATGGCTCCGTCTGGAAACCGTCGTAATAAATTCATGTTAAATTTATCACGACTAACTGGGTTAAACTACCTGACCCTAAGCTCATCTTGTCATCCTCCATTAGGGTTCTGCCAGCATAAATCGTTAGCGCAGGCCGGTGCACCATTCCGTTATCATCCATAATAAAAAACAGGTTGTGACATTACTACAGAAATAGAAAAGAAAGTTGTTAGGACCGCATACTGAATAGTACTGAATACTTAACCACTGAATAAAATTCGTATGGGCTACCACTTGGGATCTTCCAAAGCACAATGTACGCATAATGTCAAATCTACGGAATGAACATTTGCCCTTTCAAAGTAAGTCACGTACGCTATTCGCCATCAAACCTCCATTACGTCAGTTGATCGATATATTAGAACATTTGTGGGTTCTAAACGCCCATCTTGACAGATCTAAGTACGTAACTAATGTGCATAGGACTGTCTCTACTGTTTAAGACTTTATTTCTACCATAGGGACAAACGAGCTTACGATCCGATGTGGTTGTAGCCCACTCAGGCATAAACATAATATCTCCTTTGGAAAGTATACACTATCGCCTGAGGAGATAAAAACCAAAGAATCCTCCTAAAAACGCTCCTAAGAATATGCTTTAAAATATGTATCCCCATATTTTACAATGTTATATAACCGACTTAAAAACTGTGGGTATTTCTTCTACATTTAGTTTTGAACTATATGTGACATAGCAGAATATTTTCTATTTCTATTGATAAAATTTATATACATACTCATATTATTTTATATTATTTTATTCACAAATGTAACACATCTCGATACAAAATAGCATGTCAGTAGTAATTACAATTATATGTAACAAATAATTATGTCACAATTCAATTTTTATTAATTAAAAATATATATAATAGTGATTTATAAATACATATAATATTTATAAATCACTATAAATTACGTTATAATTTCACATTACAATTCAGATATTCAGTCACAATGTAGAAAGGAAGATTCCTTTATCTATGCGTAGATACGCATATAATCTCCAAAAAGATCTGGTGTGATATTATATATTTAATCTAAGTACCAGTTGAAGATTTCCTGAGTACAATTATATAACCGGCATTCAGTTTAAGGATGATAAAATGGTCACATTAGACAGAAAATGTTCCATTCACGCATAATGAGCATTCACGCAAAGAATATGTTGACTGGAGCATTACAATCTCGTTCATAAGCTTACGTAATTAAGATTATATGTATAGCTAGTAGATCTGATACATATATCCTTATATATTTTCTTTACTGTGGTTTAATTGAATCAAGTCATATATCATATTCTTTATTTTGTATAATATATAAGTTAATGGTCTGTTACAATAATTTAAATTATTAACGGGGTCTTAACACGAATATTTTTTTAGCAAATAAAGGTATTTACCTTCATCGACGCTTCGACTAGGTTGCACTAGCCGTGGTCACAAGCTAACTGGAACAACAGCGATGTCAATGTAGATAGGTGACAGGAGTTTTTTCATCTACCGTCACAAGATTGTTCAACGAAAGTTCGCAACACACAGCACTCACGGTATCCATACACTAATCGACTGTTGAAGCTACTGAACTTTGCTTAAATTTATTCGTGTTAAGACCCGGTTAATGATTTAAATAATGTATATTAAACACAACAGTTTAAAAATAACTATTACAATAATTCATTATATGTATTTGTCATTTATTGTATAGGTATTATATTGAATATTTAGATTTTATTTGATATATAGACTGTGTAAAAGATTATTTTCTAAAGGAGCCCCCAACAACAACTACAAACAACTACAACAACTTTAGTCAAAATTGTGTTACCTATATGAAGATATTTGAATATTCATAAAAGCATAGATATAACGGCAGAAAGAGATCTGTGGAAGAAGATGACATACTACGCCAATCACAAATGAGATGAAACAAGGCAATTATGATGATTTAAATATAAACGCTGTAATTCTATACAAGAGTATTTTTGCTTGTAAACTAAAACAACTAAGTAACAGTCAGATCAAGCATCCCTTAGGGGTTAATTTAGATATTGACAGCCGTCGTCTATAAATAGAAATAATGTAAACAATACTATGGACCTTTCTACTTCATATAATTTATTTAGTAATCTGAAAGCTAATATAAAATTCAAGCTTCTTTAATCGTACACTCTTGATAGAGTGTTCGTGGTGTTCATGCTGGTTTCTGTGGACAGTCTCTGTTGTCCTCCTTGGTGACAGAACTCCTCGCAATTTGTGTCCATCTTATACAGCTTTTAGTTGTGCGAAAACATTGTATAATAGACTGCTGTGTAGCCGTTTCGATAAGGTCAATCGCGTTAGTGATTGATACCGGGAACGTTTTCCCTTAATTGAACCTTCGATAATTAGTCGCTCTGTATTCGTTGGGGCTAATGTAATACTTAAAAATTTGTATTTGCACAGTCGACGATAATCTCTCCCTGATGTTGAGTTCTTTAAAAATGGTAACGTTGGTTGGACAAGCAGTCCAAGGTATACGCAGTATTCGCTGCCAGTCACAAATCTCAAAGAGCAACAATCTTTCGTAATTCTCCCTGTCCAAGTCTTTGCACCATATGCTAAAAGCGGAATAATCAAAGTTTTCATTATCTACATTAAAAATACTACTGAAATTGTGTATATGTATTTAAATGTCATAAGAGCGAAAGAGAGAGAGAGCCTTCGTCATCTTTCTAAGATTTCAATATGTATGTATGAACTGTCGATTAGATTAAAGTTCAAAATCGAAACAGTCAATTTAAAAAGCAATAGGATGTTCAAGAAAATCCAATCTTGAAACACCGAGAATCCCATCGCGGCAGCAATATCGCTAAACTTGTGTGAACTCAAAATTATATCGAAGGCACTATAGTGAGTAAAGCTATATTATATTGAATTCACATCACCGATCGTAGGGGATTGTTGGAATTACTATTGGCGCGGTTTTTACTTATTTAACTCATAGAGATATAACAGTGATATTGTATCGAGTTCAAGTTCTTCATTTGTGTAGTTCATATTACAAATGTCTTAGAATAAACAACAAAGGAGTACGTATAGATTGAGTAGCTATAGCCTATGTGCCTATTCTGATTCTGATATGATTTTATTTTTGCAAATTGTAAATTTTCATCAAAATATATTGAGTAGGTTTTGCGTGAATGAGCAGCTAATATTTATTCACACATTCACCTAAACAATCTTTAGTTTTTATTTAATAACAGTAAGTAATGATTACTGACTAACTGTCCGGTACTGGAAATACTGGTAATAAAACATATTACTCCAAAGTAGGTTTATTCGTGGCAAGTTGGATTCTAAAATTCGTTAACGAAATGTGGAGATTCAATTATTTCTCAAATCAGTCGACAATGCCTGACCACACCATCATCGATAAGAGTCGTGATGCTTTTGATCTATAATATCGTAAAAAAATATTCGAGTACCAATAGTAACATCATTTTCGTATATATAATATCTGCCACATTACGTACCGACCCTGTTTCGTAATGGGAAAATGATAGGTTCTCATCTTAACTGGATTCTATGACAGAAAGAAACTTTTTGTTGGAGCTATATTGAATTACAAAGCTACAAAGCTCTGTGTTAGACTTTTTTTAGTAGTCCAGTATTTTAGACATTATGTCTAAAAACGTTTAATATTTTTATAGTTACTTACATTTTGGGAAAAAACGTTCACATAAGGACAAATAAGGACAATATAAATCTAATCAGATTTAAATTATTTTTATTTATTTATACATTATAATGTACTAAATACAAATAACTACTAAACGATTTAAATAAACTAGTAATATGTATATAGTTATTTCTATCTTTATCTCAATTATATTTATTAACATCAGTAATCAATCTCTTTTATAAATAATTATTCAAAGGCAAAAAAAATAAGCTACTTGTTCAACTGAATATAGTAAGTACTATCAC